AAAAAAGATAAAGAATAGTATACCTGCATGGCACCTGCATGGAGCACTTACCATGAATGGAGCTTGCAGGACTAGAAGTTGCTCTGGGCGAGTCAGTGGGTGAACACCAAAGCCTAGGACATTCCTGTACACTCCTGTAGACTTACTTCAGTTTTACTTTACAAATCTTTCATTTTTTAAAATTTTTGATTCTTTTATGATAACACTTAGCTTAAAACATGAACACATGGTACAGCTGTACAAAAATATTTTCTTTCTTTATGTCCTTAATCTATAAACTTTTCCCTATTTTAAATTTTTGTTTTACTTTAAAACTTTTTTGTTAAAAAGTAATAGATAAACACACACGATAGTGTAGATCTACTCAGATTAGGATCTAGGTTATCATTACGTCACTAGGCAATAGGAATTGTTCACGATAGTCTAGGTCTACTCAGATTAGGATCAAGGTTATCATTACGTCACTAGGCAATAGGAATTGTTCAGTTCTATTACAATCCTATGGGACCACTGTCATGTATGTGCTCCATTGGTGACCAAAACATCCATATGCAGCACATGGCTGTGCTTATACTATATACGTGACAGTTAGAGACCCACACAGTGACTTAGGTCTGCAATAGGAGACTCAACATTTATTGAAATCCTGCTTATGTTTCTAATGATCAACCAGCAAATATGACTTGTCTACCATATGGAAATATGAGAATAATAAAACCTTCCCTTTGAAAGCTTTTACCTTCCCTACCGAAGGCCTGGTTCTCTGCCCATTTTGGCAGGAAACCCTAAATGTTTTGGCTCGCAGTGAGGAAAGCAGCAGCTCCTCCCGTGCTCTAGGGGTGCAGGTGTGAAACTCACATCGCCTTGGCCTCCCCAGCTGGCGGGTCCCATACACCTCCATGCCCTCTGCGTCCACACACCAGCATTGCACCTGCCGCACATCACACTGGACAGGCGTGTAGTCCCCTGAATCCTGACACTGAGGGAGGTAGGAGGTGGCTGTGCTGTTAATGTAGCCACTCAGCAAGATCTGCTGTTTCTGCAGCTGACAAAATGACAAACCTGTGGGTACAAGGAGCAGTGTTAAGTAGGGCCAAGGGGAAATGTCCAGGGGGCTGAGCCCAGGAAAACTCATGCTCCCTCCCCAGAGGGACTGAGTGATCGGTGGCAACTGCAGCACAGGCCTAGCTAGTATCCCGTGGACTGGGTCAGGTAGAGCTCACCGGTGTGACCTCGATCAGTCATGTACCCCAGAGCACCAGTAATGCGGAGGGGAGATGGCATCGGAGTGCAGGCCTGGCATTAACGGAGCTTTTCTGGGTCCGGTTTTCTCCCCAGGCTCACTGTGTAGCCCTGGGGAGCTGGTTCACCAATCTGCATGAGGGTTAGTGACCTTAGCTGCACAGTTTCAGCATGTGTCCCCTCCAAATCTCGTGGTGACATCTGATCCCCAGTGTTGGAGGTGTTTGAGTCCGGGAGGCGGACCCCTCATGAAGAGATGAATGCCCTCCCTCAGAGTGAGTGAGTTCAGCTCTATCAGTGTCCATAAGAGCTGATTATTAAAAAGAGCCTGGCACCTCCACCCTGTGTCTCTCAAGGTTTCTCTCATCACATGATCTCTGCATAGATGGTTCCTCTTCCCCTTCCACCATGAATGGAAGCAGCCTGAGGTCCTCGCCAGCAGCAGAAGCTAGAGTCATGCTTCCTTCACAGCCTGCAGAACTGTGAGCCAAATACACCTCTTTCCTTTATGAATTATCTAGCCTCAGGCATTCCTTTATAGCAACACAAATGGACTAAGACATTAGCAATGATCACCCCCTACTGAATACCTACTACGTGCCTAGTGTTTACATGTGTTCTAAATCCCCACATGGTACAAGGCAGATGCTATATTCATGTCACAGGTAAGGAGCCATAGCTCAGTGAGGATGCCTGACCCAGCCAAGCTCACGCAGCCGGAGAGTATCAGACAGGCGTGCCCCCACAACAGCTGCACAGGATGCGTAAAACTAATGCCCCAAACAGAGCTTTTAATCCATCAAAGCAGAGTTTTTGTTTTAGGCTCAGTTTCCTCATTTTATGGTGGTTGGCTTAAATTGACCGTTGTTTTAGGGTTATGACATGTTTTAAATGGGGACTGTGTTTCTTTGATGACTCACTATAATAATGATCTTAACTGTATAGCTTTGACCCAAGTCTTAAACTTTTAGAAACACCTCACACCATAGGTGAGAAGGCACTTCGTATTTTTATGGTCATTTTATGGTCATTTCAGGGGACGGTGATGTCTGTTCACCACTGTCTTCTCAGCACCAGGCACAGTACCTGGCGCATGGGAGCAACTGGGTGGATAATTGCTTAACAAATTACTGGATTTTCACAGGCGCCCTGCAGCACAGAGGGCCTTCCTTGACTTGCAGGGATGATTCTTCTTCACAGAGAAGCCAGCAGCCCAGAGGGAGGACTCGCTCAGTCATCTACCCAAACCCAGTGCTCATTCCTGGACACGAGTTGTCCCTGCAGGGTCCCTCCTGTCCCCAAGGGACATCCCCTGTCCCCACTTACAAGCCACAGGCCGTCCTGGCTGCCTGCTGCCCAGCACTTCGCCGCCATCGGCACCCACACACCAGCAGGAGCGGCCATCATTCTGGCACTGGACAGTCCTGGGGAGGAGAGGCAGACCAGGTGACTCTGCGACGGGCCCCCAAAGCCACACACAGGCTCCCACCCAGCCTACTTCTCTTCTTCGTTTCCGTTCCTCCAGGTTTTGGTTCATTTAAATTAGGGGGACAGTGGAAGCGAGAGGGGTGGCTGACCTGGGAAAGGAAAGGCTCCACTTTCCTGCCTGGCTAACACCCGCTCTGCCTCCTGCCCCAACCATTCATTCACCACCTGTGCAGCCTGCCAGCCCCAAAGCAAGTGACCCACCCTGGAGTGCAGGGCTTCAGCCACATCCACTAAGTGTCCTCAGTCATTATGAGGCTGTAGAGGGTAAAGGCAGTGCCCACATTGTGTGGATAGCATTGGGGGCTCTGGGGGTGGGATGTTAGTGGGATCAGGGGCCAGCCTGGTATATTGGGAAGCACATGGGAGGGGTCAGGTCAGGCCATAGAGTTGATACCATTTCTGGAAAGAAATGATGGCTGAACTGAGACCTGCAGGATGGTCGGGGGTGTAGAAGGTAAAAGATGTTCCAGGTAAAGGGAACAGCATATGCAAGGCCTCCTGAGGACAGACCAGGTTTGAAACTGCAAGAGGCTGGAACAAGAGAATTGGGATGGGAACATAAATAAGGCTGGTGAAAGTGATACTTCCTCTTTAACGCCTTCCTTGCTGCTCTAGAATTCCCAGCAATTTAAGCAAGGACTGCTCTAGCAGTGTCTCTGCATGCTCCTGGGAGGTTACGCATATTAAGGGTGTACAGAAGATAGCAGCAAGGAGGGATGTTTTGCAGATGTGTCCCAGAACACCGTCATATAGATGGAGTTCCCCTATTCAAAATGACTGGAATAGCATGGGGAAATTTCAATTGCATGCACATTACAAATGATTCCTGTCTATTCTACAAGGAAGAATTGTCTAGATTATTACCACACTCTCCATAGAGAGGGTCTCAGGCCCCACAACTGCATTAGGGCAGCTGGAGAAACACCTTCCAGAGAGCAGCTCAATGAGGAGACAGTGACCTGTAAGCCCAGAGGCAGCCTAGAAAGCTGTCCTGGACAGGGCCGAAGGCAGAAGTGGACTGGGAAGTCAAGGCAGCCTCTGCTTCCACCACCCCAGCTTCTCAAGAGGATACTTGGAGGAGGGAGAGGTGCCAAAACACAGATCATTTGACACCCTCTGCAACTCTGCCCCACCCCCCCACGCGTGCTGTTTATTCAAGTCATCACAGAAAAAGTGATGGCAGGAAGAGAAGGGAGAGCAGTGGGAGGATGAGGCATGCATTGGGGTTCACTTGGTCAGCTTGGCCAGTGTTGATCAGCTTGGGGACCTGAAAGGCAGGCACCTCCAAATGGCAGTGGCCAAGCATCATGTGCACAAAGGAGTTGTAGGGCAAAGTGCAGGAAGAGACGGGGAGGCACCAGATAATCTTTATGGCATCTTGGACCTTGAGAGTTTGCTGCTGATATAAGCCTTACTGGAAACTGCCATCTTCTGTGCACTGGGGCACGTAGTCTGCTCGCTTCAGAAAGGCCCTTTCCCTCTGCAGCTCACAGGGACGAAGGGGCTGGGCATCCACCTGGTACTCTAGGAAAGGAAGTATTTCATCAGAGAAGAGCATGGACTGGGCTGCCGGAACAGAGATGGGCTCTCGTAAGCACAGATGCATTTCCAGGGTCATCACCATTACCTGTGACAGTCTATCTTAAAATCTGGCAGCTAGGCACACTTTTCTCCAAGTGTTACATTAGCTGATTTAATGCACAGCATTCCCCTGAGAGGTGACAGGCAATATATCCTTGTCACTCATGAGGCACCAAGTCTCAGGCAGCGAAAGTCATCTGATCAAAGTCACGTAGCTGGCAAGTGAAGGATTCCAAAATCAACACAGGGACTCCACATTCCCCACCCCTGCTCCCATGAGGCTATTTGGAGTAGGTTACAGCACCACAAGGAAGTTCTTGAATCTATCAAGCCATGCCCTGCAGATGTAGCACTTTCTAGATACACATTGAAATACAAATTAATTAATAATGTACATGTCTTCTTCTCCATTGAGGACTCGTATAACACAGAGAATCTTACCTGGAAATCACAACCACACCATAAGGTTGTTGTTTACTTTTTAAATGAAGAAACAGCAGCTTGGCACTTTGCCCAAAGTCACACGGGTAAGTGGCTAGGACAGAATTTAGGGCTATTTCACTCCACAGGTAGATTTCCTTTCCTACTACCTGCTGGCTACTTCTAAAATACCTCTCATGGATGACATAGACTTTGGAATAGCTAAGAGGATAAAAACCCAAGGTCAATGCGAAGTTTGCCAAAATGGTGGAGTGAGGGGGACCTAGAATTGAATAGGAAGATCAATCTCATTTCCCATCTCTGCTCCACCAATCACTAGCTCTGTGATCTCAAGTAATTTAGTTCGCCTCTCTAAATCTGCCTGTTTATCTGAAAAGGAAAGTAAATCACTGACATGTGGGCATTAGGGAAAATTTAATTAGATTACATCTGTTTGAAGGCCCATTGCAGAGCCTGGCTGACACTGGAGCTCCCTCCCCAGTCCCCTGGCTCCACAGCCTTAGAACTTACCAAAGATATTGGCGGACACCAAGCAGACAGAGCCCAGCAGGCTGACAATCCCCAAGACCAGGGCCATTTTCCTGGCCCTTCCCGGGAGGAAGGAGTAGAAGCCACTGCCTGCCCTAGGTCCCCTGGCCAGGGAGCCTTTATAGAGCTGTGGTTGGCAATGGCCTTCTACCCACAGGTACTCAGTGAGGCAGTGCCCCATCCTGTTTTCTCTGCTGGTCTCAAGGAGCTCCCTCCACCTGTGTCTACTCCCCCTGAAGGCACTCGTGTGGCTAGTGGAGCATGAGAATTCTTGTTTAAACTGTAGGGAGACATAAGTGGATGGGGTGGCTTCAACATTTTTTTAAGGGTAAAGACCAAAGCTTTGTAGCTTTGGAAGCAACAAGCTCAAGCCCCCCATGAGGGAAAAGCAATCCCTGTTTTTTCCTTCCCCTGCACCCTTTCTCCTTCCCCTTCCTTCCTTCCTTCGTTTCCTTCCTTTCTTCTTCCCTTCCTTCCTTCTTTCCTTCCATCTTTCCTTTTTTCCTTTCTTCCTTCATTCTTTCTTTCCTTCCTTCCTTCCTACCTTCCTTCTTTCCTTCCTGCCTTCTACTTTCCTTTCTTCTGTTCTTTCTCTAACAACTTTTTAGAGCTCCACAGTAGCAGGCACCTAATATAGACACTGATATGGCAGAGAACAAAACAGGCAAACCTTGCCCTTATTAATATAGAATGTGAAAACTTTAGTGAGGGAAGCAAAATACGCACACACTCACATTCATGTTTCTATTCTTTACCTCTCTTTCCTAGGACTTCAGACTTTGCCAACTGAAAGGGAGCAGGAACTGTCTTTCACAGAAAGCCTTTATGTAAGTTTTTTTCTCCTGGAAAACACAGCTTCCTTCCTTCAATCCTGGTCCTGTGAAACCTGGGAAAACTCACCTCATCTCCCTGAGTCCCAGCCTCCTTCTCTAGAAAGCAAAGTTAAAAGGAGAATAATAATGTGTCCCTATTTGTTAAGGTAGTTGTAACAGAATAAACAGACATTGAAGAGCACATGCTCAGTAGACGCTAACAGTTATTATTATTATTGATTCTTTCTATTTTGAAAAAGCATCATACCAAGTAATGGCAAGTATTCAGAAGACCAACCCAGCCAGGTAAGGAGCTAGTTACAGATAGAGTCGGCAACTGGCAGGTGATGAGGGCAGGTTGCTGAGCCTGGCACCTGAGGAGAGAGGGAGGGACCGGTGAGAATCTAAAGGATGTGGTCCCGGGCACAGTGAAGGACAGGAGGACAAGCTGGAAAGTGGAAGAGACTCCAAACCCTGGGGAAATGAAGGAGCCGATATAGCTGCCCTGCCATGGGCTGTACTACCTTCTACAAATAGGGTTGCTATGAACATTAAATGTGTTAAAATATTAAAAGTGTTTGAGACAGTATTTGACACATAATAAGTATCCTGTGTTAGCTACTGTACTAGTCTGCTACCGGTGCCATCACAAAGTATCACAGACTGGGAGGCTTAAATACCAGAAATTTATTTTCTATAGTTCTGAAGGCTGGAAGTCCAAGATCAAGACGTCAACAGTGTTGGTTTCTTTAGGGACTCCTCTCCTCGGCTTGTGGATGGCCATCTCCTCCCTGTGTCCACACTTGGTCTTCCCTGTGTGTGTGCGTGCGTGTCCTAGTATCTATTTCCTTTAAGGACACCAGTCATACTGGATTAGAGCCCACCTTGTGACCTCATTATTCACTTAATTACCTCTTTAAGGGCCCTATCTCCAAATGCAGTCACATTTTGAGGTCCTGGTTTTAGGACTTCAGCATATGGATTGGGGAGAGGACACAGCTAGTCCATAACAGCTACTGTCATTATTATTGGGTTCACAATACAAACTAGAGAAAGTAAAACACAATGTCATTTTAAGTGTCAGGGTGTGGATTAAAAACAGGTGACAGCCTGTGCTCTGCACATCCTTCCTGGGGACCACACATGCCTGGAGCTTCCACATCTCTCTCTAGCTCAGTCTCCAGCCAGATGCTTTTGACCACAGGTCCACTCTGCCTGGACACCCTACAGACCTTTCAAATTCAACACAGCCCAATCCGAACCCTTCGACCTTTCTCCCAACATCACACCTTTGCCTGTCTCTGTGAGAGCAAATCCAAGCCCCTTCCTAAGCCTCTTTCCTCAAGTCTTATCAGCCTCCATGTCGTACCAGGCTTCTGCTCTTTCCACTTTGTGGGTCCTCCCCTCCTCTGCATCCTCACTCCTCCTGCCTCCAACATGTCCCCTCAACCTAGAACCAGCCAGCCAGAACAGCCTCCTGTGCTGCCCCTCACCAGGGCTTCCTCACCAGCTGCAGGGACAGTCCTCTAAAATATGGCCCTCCGTGTCACTTTATAGATTCTACAAAAAGAGTGTTTGGTGCCTGGTGAATCAAAACACAGTTTCCATTCTGTGATATGAAACAGCACATCACAAAGTGTTTTCACAGATGGGGATGGAGACTCTGCCAGCAGGTGCTCAGGAGGTACGTGTGGCAGGGAGATCAACTCACCCTGGGGAGTGGGAGGACAACTTAGTTTAAGACCTAGATGTTAGGCAAAGGTGATCTGGGGAGCGTATTGGCATTTACTGGAAAAGGAGACACAATGAAGGACTCACCTGCCTGACTCCCTGCTGCCCCGTTACATGGGCCAAGTTCACCCCAGGCTATGGAGAGCCAGCAGCATCCTTTGCTCTACAGCAATATAACAAGAACAGCATTGTGCAGTTCCTGGTCATTTCTCCATCTCTACATATGCTAAAGCAGATAAATCTTAGAAGAAGTTGAATGTGGTTAAAGGTTTACCACAAACCTTGCTCACCACGCTTCCCATTGCCCTAAAATGCATGCATAAAGCTTGCACAGGTTGGCTTGTGTGCTGAATCATTGTTGCTGGCCTGGGCCCTGAGAAGCAATGCATAGACCCAAGCCAGAGGTGTCTCTGCTTCACTGGGTTTGGTGCTTTAGGAACTCTGTGCTCAGGGTTCATGAAGCAAGCCAAGATATCACTGGAATGAAGAGTACTATGAGAGAGGAATGGCAGGCCTCTGAGCTGACTCCACTTCAGACCCCACCTGGAGAAGCAGCAAGGCGTTAGGAGCCTGTGGGAGGGCACTCAGTAGTCTAAACAGCACAGGCTGCCTTCAAAATCCATGCAAAGAGCTTCCTTCCATACGCAAAAGCAGAGGTGCTTCTCTGCACTCAAGTAACAGTGCGGCAAGCTTCAAGAGAATCCAGCCAAGGTGTCACTTCCCCACCATGAAACCCTCTTTCTCATAATGACTCAGCTACTGCTCCCTGCTTTTACTTCTTCCCTACTGAGCTCTGAGAACATACAGGCTTCCACAGTGACTCCACATGCCAAGGTCCTAATCTTTCTTCACCAATTTATTCCTTGCTCAGGCCTCTGTCACTCTGGCAGGCTCTTCATCACTGGCCTTGCCACCTCTCCCACTTTCCTTGGCCCAGAATACAATTGCATAACCTTCTCTTTCATCTCCTCCATTCTTTAATACTAAGCTGCTACATATAATAGGTGCTTACTGAAGATATGGGGGGAAATAGAGAGTAATAGGAATACAGAGGAGGAAGTGGCTTCAAATGGATCATCAGACACCACTGTTTTTTACAACCATCCATCAGCTGTCATGCACCACAGGTTGTTTCCCAGCCATCTCTCCTTTAGTCCAGCATGCCACTATATTGCTGGATCCCTGCTACCACTAGGGACAGCTTCTTCCCATCCCCCACATACCCAAGGACACAAAGTCACAACCCTTCTTCTTCTAGGTTTCTAGGGCAATAATAAACATTTCTGGTTCTTGATTTCTCAGCCCAGAAAGATGGAGTGAAAAATACACTTTTCCCTATACCTCCTGCTAAGTATAGCTAAAACCATGAACATTATATATAAAACAAACATAAGGCACTGAAAGGTGAAGAGAAGGAAGACTGGCTATCGCCCTTAGGATCAAAGGAATGAGAGAGATGGTAGGAGTTTCCTGGATCTATTTGGCCTCCTAAGTCTCAGATGTTGGAGATGCAGGATACTCAGAAATGCCAATGAGCACAGATAAAACAAGCCCCAAGAAAATCCTCTTGAGCCAAAGTCCAGGAAAGGCAACAACCTGGTAAGACAGAAAACTTTTAGACAACCACCTCTTTACTATACCAAACAACACAGAAAATCTGTCTCTAACCCCACCAAGCCAGCAAAGGTCAAGTGAGGGGCCCAGATTTCCACTCCTGTCAATCTGTAAGGAGGTTCCCCAATCCCTCTGACACGGTTTGTCAGAGGAGACAGAGTGAGGAGTTGTGACTTTTACCCTGCTGGGGAGTAATGACCCTCCTCTTTCTGCAGTATCAGTGGAGACCTTGCAGGGAGCTTGGAATTCTGCTCCCATCCAGTGGTAATAAGGTGTCACTCTCCCCCTTGCCACTTGGTGTATCAGAAGAGATCTAGTGAAGTGTCAGGACCTTCACAACTGCCCAGCAGTAGCAAGACCATCTCCCTGTTGTGTCCATGAAAGGCCACGTGGTGAACAGTAATGGGGCAACCCTGACCGTCTCAGGGTTGGCATAGGCCTAGAGAAGAGGCTGAATTGCCATCCCTGCCTAGCAGTACAGAAAAGCAGAACAGCTTCCAGGTGTCAATGGAGTAAGAACTTGGACTTCCAGTCTCAGCTGGCAGTAATGAAGTAGCATCTCCAGTTTCCCAATGTGGTGATGTCATAAGAGTGCTTCTAAAATGAGATCCAAAGTTTCTTAACAGCCAAATCGTTCAAGTCTTGATCAAAAATCACTAATTGTACCAAAAACTAGAAAAATATCAACTTCAGTGAAAAAAGACTATCAATATATACCAGCATCTGGTGACAAAGATGTCAGAACTATTTGATATGGATTTTAAAAGTCATCATAAAAATGTTTTAGCAAGCAATTATAAATGTATACAAAGCAAGTGAAAAAATAGAAATTCTCAGTAAAGAAATAGAAGATACAAAGAATAACTATATGGAAATTTTAGAACTAAAAAAG